TATATATATATATATATACATACAATTACAGTTCTCTCAATAAGTCATTTACCTTGATTCAACAGAATTAAAGTTAAATTGGTTTCAAACCAGTTTGTTGCTGGAGTTACCTGATGGAGTTCATCCCTACTATTGCATATGCAAAGAATACTGGATTGTAATCAATGTCTGCACCACGGAGGTTAAAAAGCCCTAAAAATGAAAGAAACAAAAGTGTATGTTATTTTACAGTACATTACTTTGAATAAAAATACATCTGTATAAACTCAGAACAAAAATATAAAATGCAACTTTTTGTTTTTGCTCTCATTTTTCACGAGCTGAACTCAAAGATCTTTTTTACACAACAGGCCTTTTTCTCTCAAATACTGTTCACACATTTGTATAAATCTGTGTTAGTGAGCACTTCTCCTTTGCTGAGATAATCCATCCACGTCACAGGTGTAGCATATCAAGATGCTGAGTAGACAGCATGATTATTGCACAGGTGTGCCTTAGGCTGACCACAATAAAAGGCCACTCTAAAATGTGCAGTTTACAGTACAACGTCACAGATGTCGCAAGTTTTGAGGGAGTGTGAAATTTGCATGCTGACTGCAGGAATGTCCACCAGAGCTGTTCAAATTAAAGATCATACCTTTGTTTAGTGTCCGGTGTGACCCCCACCCTGTGCAGCAATAACTGCAACTAAATGTTTCCAGTAACTGTTGATCAGTCCTGCACACCATCTTGGAAGAATTTTAGTCCATTCCTCTGTACAGAACAGCTTCAACTCTGAATGCTGGTGGTTTCGTCACATTAACTGCTGCTTCAGGTCCTTCCACAACATCTGGATTGGATTAAGGTCAGGACTTTGACTTGGCCATTCCAAAACATGAACTTTATTCTTCTTGAACCATTCTTTGGTAGAATGACTTGTGTGTTTAGTGTCAGTGTCTTGTTGCATGACCCACCTTCTCTTGAGATTCCGTTCATGGACAGATGTTCTGACATTTTCCTTTAGAATTCTCTGATATAATCCAGAATTCATTGTTCCATCAATGATGTCAAGCCGTCCTGGTCCAGATGAAGCAAAACAGGTCCAAACCATGATACTACCACCACCATGTTTCACAGCTAGGATAAGGTTCTTATGCAGGAATGCAGAGTTTTCCTTTCTCCAAACAGAACTATTTTCATTTAAACTAAAGTTCTAGTTTGGTCTCATCCGTCCACAAAACATTCTTCCAACAGTCTTCAGGTTTGTCCATGTGATCTTTATCAAACTGCAGATGAGCATCATTGTTCTTTTTGGAGAGCAGTGGCTTCCTCCTTCAACCCTGCCATGAACCATTGTTGTTCAGAGTTCTCCTGATGGTGGACTCATGAACATTAACATTAGTCAATGTGAGAGAGGCCTTCAGTTGTTTAGGAGTTACCCTGGGCTCCTTTGTGACCTCGCTGACTATCACACATCTTGCTCTTGGAGTGATCTTTGTTGGTCCACCACTCCTGGGGAGGGTAACAATGGTCTTGAAGTTCCTGCATTTGTACACAGTCTGTCTGACTGTGGATTGGTGGAGTCCAAACTCTTTAGAGATGGTTTTGTAACATTTTCCATCCTGATGAGCATCAACAACTCTTTTTCTGAGCTCCTCAGAAATCTCATCTTTTCCTGCCATGATCCACTCCCACAAACATGTTGTGAAGATCAGACTTTGATAGATCCTGTTCTTTAAATCAAACAGGGTGCCCACTCACACCTGATCATCATCCCATTGATTGAAAACACCCGACTCTAAGTCCACCCTCAAATTAACTGCTAATCCTAGAGGTTCCCATACTTTTACCACTCACAAAATGTAATATTGGATCATTTTCATCAATAAATTTATCTACTTTTAGGACTTGTGTGAAAATCTGATGATTTAGGTCATTTATACAGAAATATGGAAAATTATAAAGGCTTCACAAACTTTCAAGCACCACTGTACCTACTGTAGTAATCATAACTTGCAGACAACTGCACGTAAAACTTTAAGTAAGTAAATTAAGTACTACTGTGTACTTTGTTCTTCAGGTTCCTATAATTATAACAATTAATGGCAAAACATTGGTTTTCTTGGTTGAGTTTTTTTTTTTTTTTTTTTTTTTTTTTGCTCTTGGCCATCTAGAATCTGCTGCCATGCTGGCAGTAATTAAAAATCCTGAGAAGCACCTACCAAGATGGCAGCACAAATTCTCATCCCGTTAGCATAGACTGGGCCATGCTTGGCCATTCCAGTGTATTTCTATGTCAGTGGTTTTACACGACAGAAACAGAAACTACCAGACTTGATGTATTTTAGAAAACAACATACATGCAATCTCATCCAGTGCTGTGGCAACAAACCAGGTGATTTTCCTCTCTGTCATCTTGCCTCGCAGTGCGGTAACCTTGTCCTGCCAGGAAATACCTGCAGGTAAACAGCAACAACGCGGCATGACAGAGCCATCAAGTGGTCGTCACGAATGGTCAATGCAGTAAGATCAACTTTGATTTATCTTTAAATTATAAGAGCAGTGGCACCTGTCAACAATATTACAGCTTTGTACAATGCATCTCATACATAACGCTCATCTGCTCCTATAAACTAAGTGAACGCAGAATCGATGTCATTGCAGTGAGACCTGACCTGTGTATTCTAGTCCCAGCGTGCGGAGCTGCATGCTTGGTCTTTCCGGTCGGTCAGTCCAGACTACATCAATCAGGTTGTCCTGCACAGCCACCAGTGAGTGTCCTGCACTGGTCAGCGCCTTGGACATGTTCTTCCACTGGTCTGAAACACAACAGAACAAGACTTATGCACAAAGAGTTAGGATGCAAAAACTGCTAAACCTGTTATTCTCTCTTGGTTTTAAAAATGTTTCAGTTCAGTGTGCACAATTTCCTACTTAGAAATTTCAAAAGGAAACACTGATGAGTTTAATTTCTTGTTTCCCATGAGGCCAATTTAAAACCTGACAACTGCAATGTGATGTTTTTACTTTGTGTTATTTGTTTTATGATGCATGACGTGCACAGTGTTTGTGGTAGACTGAAGTAAATGACAATCCTCCTCACTGACAAGAAAGAGAAAATCTCACTAACGCACCTGCAGCAATAATCCAAGGATCAACTCCCACTTTGGAGTTCTCAGGTAAGACGTTGATCAGCCAGTCCTCCTGAGACGGCGTCTCCTTCAGTCCTATGTGAATATTGATCACATCAGTTACACCTTCATACCTGCAAACTAGTCGCTTTTCGGCAAAATTCGCCAATTTCAAAGAAAAATATGTGTCTTGTGTTGTATGCGTGGAAAGAGTCCAGCTGATGGTGTTATAGAGAACACCGTGAAGGAGAAGGATGGTGTTAAGGAGGAAGAAGCAAAGTAACACAAGTTTTCTGGAAATAAAATAGACCAAAATGGTCAAATCAGTTATGGGGAAGGAATAGTGGAAAGGAAACCATGGGAGAAGGAGATGGATGTTTTTCCAAGTGGATTGTGAAGGAAAGGGGAATACACTTTATGAAGTGTAGAAATTGTGGCACCAAGGTAGGCAGGAACATATAAATTGTTTTGTTTTAATATTTACATCCAGGTTGACAAAACTGACTAAAAAGTGTTGTTTGTTTGTTTTTTGTCACTTGCTTGGCACAGTGTAGTTTAGTGTTGTGAAAGCTGCATGATGCCAGGTCATTTTCTGTTATGAGTCTATCACTAAATCAGAAAACGGTAAAAAGCCTAAATTCACTGTTGGTGGTTATTAAAATGTTCATTGTGTAAAGTTAATATTCTTATTTTAAAACATACAGTTGAGTGTCACCATTGCTTAGCACAATGGCAAGTTGTGTTACAAATAAAACTAAATAAAAAGTTAACAAAATAAAAGTCAAGTTCACCCCTAAAGTCATTGTTTGTGATAAATTGTGTCACATTAATAGAATTCAAAATCTTACTTCTAACCTACAAAGCACTCAACAACCTAGCTCCATCTTATCTTCGAGATCTTATTGTTCCATATTTTCCTAACAGAGCACTTTGTTCTCAAACTGAAGGCTTACTCGTGGTTCCTAGAGTTTCCAAAAGCAGAATGGGAGGAAGATCTTTCAGTTATCAGGCTCCTCTCTTGTGGAACCAACTTCCAGTTTCTGTCCATGAGGCTGACACATAGTCCAGTTTTAAGACTGGACTTAAGACTTTCCTTTTTGATAAATCCTATAGCTACTAGAGGACAAATTAACCTCATTTCCTTAAATAATTTGCTAAAATTTTATATTTTTCATTTGATACTATTTCTATCTTAACATGTGATTCTTGACCTGCCATTGTGTATCTGTTCTTCTCAAACCCAGCCGGTCGAAGCAGATGGCTGCTTGTCCTGAGCCTGGTTCTGCTAAAGGTTTCTTCCTCATGAGAGAGTTTTTCCTTTCCACTGTCGCCTTCATGCTTGCTCAAGACGAGAGTTCTGCGATGGAGTTAAACTCAAAGCAGTCTGCTCCTCAGATAAATTATGTTAAAATTATTATTTTATAAATGAATGTTTCTGTTCAGTGCCCTGAGACGACTTCTGTTGTGACTTGGTGCTACATAAATAAACTGAATTGAATTAAATTATCTTAACCATAGCAGTGAGATTAAAAACAGGATGATTCCTACGTATATGGACTTGTTGAATGAGGTGTCTCTAAAATATCCTGCTTCATGATCAATAATTTCAATAAGTTTTTAAATCTGTCCAGAGGACCTGACTTAATTTTGTTGACGTCTCTAAAATAGTTGTTGAATCAAGTGTTTACTTATGCAGGTAAACGTAGATGTTTAACAACCCATTACCTATCTTCATAAGTGTCCAGTTGTTGTCCATCTGCTGGCTGGCCTGGAGGAAATATCGTCCATCAGTCCACATTGCAGCATGCTGCTCTGTGATAATGGCTGTACCTGAATAACAAAGCAGAGCAAACAAGTTTCTCTGTCACACAACTTGTGTGTTGGTTGAGTTTGTACAGTTAGGATAATTACTCAGAAAGAGGCTACCTAGTTAGAAGAACATATAGTTTCAAGTGAACATCCTACGCAGCACTGAAGTAGTCTAGTTCCTGGTTTGATCTATCAATAACAGAAAAATCCTATCCCACACTTTAGAGATATACCTGAACGCTGCCGTCTGTTCACACAGAAACAAAACATACCTGCAGATCCATTAAATCCACAAATAAATTCACGTCTGCAGTCACACGGTGAAATGTATTCACTCTGGAAGACACATAACCAGGCAGGGGAGAAAAGCAGAGGAGGACATGAACTTCCATCACAATCGGTAAGAATAAACTGAACCTTTAGACATTTTACATACCACCTGTTGTTCTTGTCTCACATCATGTTTATGTGGCAGAAGAAAAAAAAAAGGTGCAGCAGAAAAAATGACTACAAGGATGTACAACTGAGCTGTCCATTTTTTTTGTAACTTTAAAACATTACTAGTGCACCCAGGATAAAGCAACACATGCAGATAGATTTATGCTAAGAATATAGTTTACAGGTTGTCAGACCAGTCCTCAGCCTAATTGTGTGAATGCTTCACATTTTTTTGCAATCATTTTGACTTTTTTCAGACTAATTCAGCAAAATCATGCTCTACCCCCTTGCTTCTGGTAATTTAAGCTAATTTCTGTTTGTTTAGCTACTGTTCAGCTGGCAAATGTCAGATTTTCTCAGATTATTCCAACTTTATTGTGCTAATTTCTGCCTCTTTCTGCCTTAGTGGGTACACATGTGGTCATTCCAACTCTTTATGGTAATTTAAGCTTCTTTCTACATTTCTTTAGCTCCTATTCAGCTGTTTTTGGCAAATTTCAGGTTTTTTTTTCCAGGTAATTTCATCTTTTCTGTGCACATTTCTGCTTCTTTCAGCCTTAGTGGGTACATTTGTGTTCACTCCACCTTTTGGTAATTTAAGCTTATTTCTACTTTTTTTAAAAAAAATCTACTATTAAGCTGTTTTTGGCAGATTTCTGCTTTTTCCAGATTACTTCTACTTTTTGGTGCTAATTTCTGCTTCTTTCAGCCTTAGTGGGCACAACTGTCCTCTCTCCGCTTCCTTTGGGCCATTTATGCTTCTTTATACTATTTTTTTTTGCTACTATTCAGCTGTTTTTGGCAAAATTCTGCTTTTTTCAGATAATTTCCACTTTTTGTAATCATTTCTGCTTCTTTCAGCCTAATTAGGCAAACTTGTGATCTCTCCACTTCCTTCTGCTAATTTATACTTCTTTCTACTATGTTCATTCATTCAACCTTTATTTATACAGGTTAGCCCCAGTAGCTACTATTTAGCGGTTTCTTTGCTAATTTCACCTTTTTTAAAGCTAATTTAGTCATTTTTGTGCTCATTAATGCCTATTTAAACCAAATACAACAAATATGTGTTTTTCTGCCTTTTTCTGCTAACTTAAGCTTGTTTCAGCTACGTTTCACCATGTTTTAAGCTAATGGCAGCTGTTTTTCAGCAGGTTCTTCAGCAATAAGCGTTCACACTAGTGCAGTTTTGCTGGAAATACAAATTCTCTGGTTTTTAAATAGCTGAAGAGAGGCGTCTAATCTTCAGCAGAACAGACTCATTAGTTGTTGTAACCTGTGGACATGACATGGAAGCTCCTATGGTGAAAATCAAAAGTGAATGCTGGCTAAATTTAAAAATCAAAGTCTGAAGAATACACGCAAATCAGACTTTACAGTTGTGTAAAAAACGACGAACAGCAAGCAACTGAGCTGTTAGAACAGAGAGGTTAGTTACGTGAACGTGCATGATGTGCATACAGTGTTGAGGGTTTTTAACTCACCTGGTGTGCATCTCCTGATGGGACTATGTAGGCCTGTAAAGGCTCAGAGAAGTATTTACAGCTCCTCATTGCCTGCCGAAGCAGTCGGAGTAGTTCTCCTGTGATCTTTGGAGACATGGCTGGGTCTGCATTGAAAACAAAGTGAACCAATTCTAAGACAAATAAATTTAAGGTAAATGAAAATAACTTCTTGGAAAACTACAGTACACGAAGATCTCTGAAAGTTCAGTTAAATATTAATTATTAGGATTAAAAAAAATACACCACTGCTGACATGTACTATTTAAAATCACACACTAATTAACAGCATGTTACCTGACGTCTGGGAAGCCATGTCAAATTCAGACGACTTGAGCTAAACGCTGACTGACTCTGGAGCCTTCACTGAGCTCAAAAGTCACAGCCAACACCCAGTCTGAACCTGCTATAATGTGCCAATTCAGCAACTCTGACAGCGGACAGGTTAAACATTAAAAGATAAAAATAAAAACAAAAGGCCTTGCATTCCTTGAAGCATATGCATATCGACCACTTCCTTTCACGTCAGAGTTTTAAACTAATATCAACTTTCATAACCTTTGACCGAAAATACTCTAACAGTTTGTGTGAATCTCGTTTATCTCTGTGTCCCTGTGGAGGACTGGAGACCTGTCCAGGGTGTCCCCTGCGTCTCACACAGTGACTGCTGGATATGGGCACCAGTGACCCCTGCAACTCTGAAAGGAAGGAGCGAGAACAGATAATGGACGGACGGACGGACGGGCGGGCGGACGGACGGGCGGGCGGGCGGACGGACGGACGGACGTGTTAATGCTTGGAATACGTGTTGATGACTTTCAGCTAATACATGCCAAATATCTCAAAATCTAGAAAATTGGCTTAGTTGACATCATTTGTTGCCTAAATTAATTGGAAGCGGCAGCCAGCTTGATTTGGACTGACTCCAAAACTTAATGAGTAATGATTCCTTTCTGTGTTTGATTGAAATCCATTCAGTGATTAATACGATATAAACGTTAAATATTTGACTCCAATAGTTAATGGCAAAGTCATAAAAGTAGATGTGCGAGCAGTTAGTGCTCAGAGAACGTGCTGAGAATAAGTCTCAGGTACATTTGCACCAAATTTTAGCTCAAGATCTGTAAAATTGTCTGAGTTACAGCCATTTATTGTGCTTAATAATGTTGCTTAGCTGTGGAAGCCATCTTGAATCGGAGTGGCTTGGAAAGGTAAATGGACTGTACTTATATAGCACCTTTTTTATCTAATCAAGATACTCAAAGCACTTTACAACACAATCTGTGCCCTCATTTACCTCCACACACACATTCATACAGCATTCTACTACATCTCTACAACAATTGAACAAATCACACGCCGATGGGTCACACATCAGAGGCAATGAGGTGTTCAGTGTCTCGCCCAGGTACACTTGGACATGCGACTGCTGGTGGAATCAAACCCCCAACTCTTGCAATAGAGGACGACTGCTCTAACCACTCAGCCACAGCTAATCAGTTGTAAATGTACATTTTGTGGTTATTTACAAAAAAATTCAATAAAATCCATTCATGAGATATTTTGCTAACAGACGCATGGTTGACGGTTAATGGCACACACAGATAAGGAAAAACGCTTTCATCCTTGTTGCCTTTAATGGTGGGTGATGAAAAGACACACAGACTGAAGTCGACATTTATGTGCGCAATTTCTACATATAAAAAAACAATAATAATAAAACAAAGGCCAAGACATATGATGCGATTTTAAATGCATATTTCTAAAGACAGGTGTGTGGAGTAACATGATGTAAACAACTGACCAATCACGTTGCAGCACTCTGCATCGATGAGCTCTCCTATTGGCTGAAAACTCTGCATGCGATGTTGTTTACAAGTTGGCATGAAATGAATCACGGTCATTCAATTTGTGATTCGATAACTGCTTAAGCAGTCTCGATTAAAATAATTACTATTGTTTTGTTGATTAAAAAAAGAAAAAGAAAAAAACTAGAAACCGCAGCACGTTCGTTTGTGGGCGTATGTCTGTGCACGTACAATATCGAACAAACAAACTTAATTTATTCAGTCTCGCCTTTGAATTTGTTGCTGGATGTGGTAGCGGCTATCAGCAGGTTTTACAGGCCGAGGTAAAGGCCTTTACTGTGGCTTTCATGCAGAGATGTAGACGGCAGCTAAATGTTTCTGCCTCGTCGGGAAACAGACTCGACATGCTGCTGAAGCGCCGTCTGTTTTCACGCCAAACTCCCGCTAGCTGAATTAAAAGAGCCCCACACGTTCAGGCAGTGAAACACTGAATACTAACCCGCTGCTTGTGCCTTTGGGGAACCGGTTCTCGCTGTAAAAATCGAAGCACTTTTTGTTTACCAGCTCGGACCGTGTATCAGTTCACAAAACCGGAGGCTGCCATGTCGTTGCTGACGTCAGGGGTCACGTGACCGTCGTTTCTTCCAGTGGACGCAGCGGAATCGAGACTCGCCTCTTCCTCTGAATATTTTGAAACGGCATAATAGAGACAATAGATTATAGGAAAAAAATACTTCTTCTGTGCTCAGTAGTTTATATTTTGGTTTTAGAGACTTCTATTGAAAGATTAAATGTTTCCAATGACGACACTATCAATATATATTCCCTTCTTAGATTAGAAAATACAGCATAATTCAACATCTTAGTGGCTGTCAAGGGGACTTTCAATACGATTCACGCACAGATTAAAAACACTGGGTGAATAACATTCGTGCATTTAAATTTATTTCAATAAAAAGTTTTGCATCTTCTGGAGGTGCTTCACAAACACACCCACTTGTAATAGCATGTTGCTGCCACAAGGGGGCAGTGTCTGAAAGATGTGGTTTTTATTTTCTTGGTCATGTTTGCCGTTTTGTTCTAACGTTTGTAACCAAAACCTGCTCCTTTCACTCTTAAAACTATTCCTGTTTTTTCACCTGGACTTTTCTATTTTTACACTCCTGTTTATTGTCATTCACATCACGTGGTACATGAGGTGGAACGAAACTGTACTCTAGGTCCCAGTTACACCCAAAAAGAGCTGCTCTTCATAAGTGAAGGAGTAAGGGAGTCCAACTGAGTGGCATGTGCAGTGATGATGTCTTCCTGTTCCTGTCCTCACTGAGGACATGCTTGTGAATTTAATAATAATAATGGTGTTATACAGTATTAAGCAAGTTATTCACAAGTTTTTTTAATTGATTTTACATGTATATTAATGGTTTGCTTACAGTTCAGTTTCATTAACGAAATACAAAATAACTTAACACGACAGTGAAAAGTAGGGATTCATAATAAATCATTTATTTAAGATTAATGAATATTATCTATCGTGTGTGTAATCTATCAATGACAGAATGTGTCAAACTGGTGACAGAGAGCTGGTTAAAGATGTTTCCATCGCACACCTTCACTATTCTGAAAATAAATAAAAAGATCCACTATTATGGCAGCTAGGGAGCAAATAGGAAGACAATTTCAAAACAAGGATCTAAAGAAAATCACTGAACAGCACCCACCCATTCACACACACACACACAAACACACACATATATATACATATATATATATATATATATATATATATATATATATA